GTGGTTGTAGTGTAACCTTTTATGGAGATGCAGCAACACTCAAATTGTTTAGATTTACGCACATACATTTAAATACAACGGTTTTAGATTTGCATTTCAAATTATGAGTCACGTTCTTCCTGATTAAACCTGTGTGGATAAATGTTAATTTGTCCAATCTAATTTAAAAAAAGTTTAGGATTCATTTATAAATAATATTGGTTGTCCGAAATATAAAAAATTACTTGATGAAAACAAATAAGATGATTAAAATGTAAGAAATGGTTTGTATTATATTAACATAAAAAAATCTGAGGAAAATGTGTTATTAGAGAGATTTAGATGAACATGTTATATATTATAGATAAAATATATATTTTGCTTATAAAAAATAAACCTATTTCCTTGACCACGGAGACTTTTTCCAGTGAATGAATGAATGAATTTACAGTGCATCCAGAAAGTATTCATGGAGCTTCACTTTTTCCTCATTTGTTTATATTACAGCCTTATTCCAATGTGAATTAAATTCATTTATTTCCTCAACATTCTACACACAATAACCCATAATGATAATGTGAAAAAAAGATTCACAGCCTTTGCTCAATACTTTGTTGATGCACCTTTGGCAACAATTACAGCCTCAAGTCTTTTTGAATATGATGCCACAAGGTTGGCAGACCTGTCTTTGGGGATTTTTGCCCATTCCACTTTGCAGTACCTCTCAAGCTCTATCAGGTTGGATAGTAAGCAGCAGTGTACAGCCATTTTCAGATCTCTCTAGAGATGTTCAATAGGATTTAGGTCTGGGCTCTGGCTGGGCCACTCAAGGACATTCACAGAGTTGTTGTGAAGCCACTCCACTGATGATATACATCATAATTAAAACATATCATAATTGTTCGTCTGTGTGGACCAGGGTTTTTGCAGGCTTCGCCGAGTTAAATTTAAGACTTTAAGACATTTTTAAGACCATTATAAAATGGAAGTTTAGACCCATAAAGGGCAAAAGGCTAAACAATTTTTCAATCGGCCGTGATGGAAAAGACTTTTATTTGCCCTTTAAAAAAGAAAAAGAAAAAAAAAGTATAATTCAATTCATTTAATAATACAATAATACATTAATATTATGTGTAAATAATAATAATAATAATATTGTGTAAAAACAAGCAATGTCTACTTGTATCCATACACTTTTTTTACAACATACACTTTCTTAAAAATAAAAGCAAAATAAACAAATGTTTTAAAGTTTTAAAAACTATAATAAACTAAATTTTCTAAAACTACAATAAGCTAAAACTAACTATAATACACTTTAACAAATATTATTGCTAGCAAAATAATTAAACTAATATGATAAACAGTTAAAAATTACCTTATTAAATAAAAAGTTTAGTTTTATTGAGATGATTTTTAAATTAAGACCTACAACAATATTTCAGTAAATTTAAGACTTAAAACCTAAAATTTGGATTTTGAGATTTAAGACCTTTTAAGACTCTGCAGAAACCCTGGTGGACATAAATATATTTATCGTTATTTAATTGCTTGGTGTAAACAGTTTTGTGATTTTGCAATGGTCACATTTTCTCAATATTCTGAAATGACATGCGGCTTTTCGATTGAGCCTTTATTAATTATTTAGATGAGTCTGAAAGTAATTTTTTACTTTTTAAACTCCTTAAAATCCTTTATATGAACCAGTCAAACTCATACCAAGTGCAATTAATGAAGTCAAAATCAATAATAACATTCACAACACACAGAAATAAGCCAGCTGCTCATTTTATTATTATTATTATTATAACAATATTTAGCAAACACACTATAAAACCCTAAATGCAGCAATTTACAAAAAACAAAACAACAACCAAAAGAACTCTGAAATGCCGCAGTTAAATGCGATCAGAAATGGGTTTAAATCAAACAAAGTGCAATAATTTGAGCCGCCCAAAATAATGTAAACAAACTAAAACAATTCCCACTACAACAATAGTAGTCTTTTTTTCTTTTTACTTCGCAAAAGTCTTGCAGTTCCTGCAGCAGAAGATGCAAGCAAATGTTGAAATGATTCACAGTTCAACTGAAACTCAAACTATTTGGTCTTTCTGAACAGAAAAAAATCAAACGCTTAAGCTTAAATGCTTTCTGCAGTTCAAGTACAAAGGCATTGTTTTACATCACAACAATACTCTATTGTGTTTTTCCACAATAATTCTCAATACAAAGTGTCATTAATTCTAAAGTGCTCGAGGAATGTTTGGAGCTGCTTTGTGGCGTTTTATGCATCGTATAATTTCCTGCCAGCTTGCAGATATTCTGAAGTCCCAACATATTTTTCTGAGCTTGTCTGTTCCATTCAAACATAAGACCAAAACACTATTTAAATAGATGCTTCATTAGTCAAGTAAACAACAGACAGAATTCCCAAGTAAAGCAGTAACCATTAAACAAGATTAAATGTAAGGTATTTGTCAGGCAGATCACTTCTAAATCAAAGCACACTCTGTTAAGCTCAAGCCAATTCAAAAACTCCTGGAACAACTTGAAGAGCTCAGAATCAAAACTGTTTGGCATTAAACTAAAGTTAAAGCAAATTTCGGGGAATTTATGTAAACGTCTGTCTTTGTAATGTAGATTTAATCAAGCTTTATATCTAACGAGGTAACAGCAGAACTGATTTTGCTATAAAATGAAATAGTGTTTGGGTCTTCATCACCTCAGCTGGCGATTTTTTCGATTTCGTCAAGATCATCCGTGTCCAGCCTTGCAATTTTCTTATCTGTTAGAAAACAGCAAATAAAAAAGGTTACCTTACGTTTCCAAAATAGAAATAATTAATTTATAAGCATCTATATATTTATACATGCATAATATATTATAACAACAACAACAAAATATACAATGTTTTAGTCCATTAATTTTGTAATTTACACAAATTAATTTTACTTTAAAAAATCTATAAAAATAGTGATCATTATTAAAAATAATATGAATGTGTGCATAAATAGAAAACTTAATTATACAAATAATAATGAACATATTATTATCATCATCATATCCAGTGTTGGTGGTAACACATTACAAGTAACATAATAATATTACTTTATAGGGCAGATATAGTGAAAAGTCTACTTTTCAAGCTGTTTGGACAGACATGTGAGTAAGTATAGTGTATAGACCGTCATATTGGGGTGATAAAAACACACAGTCCTTTTTTTTTTAATTTAACAACATAAAAACGGTGGACCAATTGGAGCGGTTTTCAGACCGACCGTAACTTTACGTAGGAGAGCGGTCCCCCCGCCCACCAGTATTGATTGACAGCCTCGCGCCACGATCATATCCTCAGTTTCTTGTTGCACGTCCGCCATTTTCAGCGTGTGAGTCAAAGCAATATCACTATCGGGCTGCACGCGGCGGAGCTTTGGGTCAGCCGCTCGGCGGCCACGGAGCCGTTGTGTTTGCCCTGGTGGAGGCCTGTGTTTGGAGTTCTGGAATGCGGGGCGTGACAATTCGGGACACTTCATGTTTCTGCCACGTCACTGAGTGTCTGGTGTGCCGTGTCGTGGCGCATTAGCTGCCTCAGTCAAAGTTAATTCAGTGTGTGTGGTTATTAGTCTCAGTGTACAAGCTCGGCACTTGTACACCAAGACTATACAAAGACACAAATGATTTTGTACTCTCTGCTTGGTCTGTGTCCGAGTCCTACTGCTGAATGCTCATCCTAGCTTAGCTTAGCTTCTCTGTCTGTCAGCCTGTCTGTTGCAAACACAGAGTGTGGGAGCTCTTGGCTCCCTTGTTACATTGGGCGGGAAGCCGAAACTGTGAAGCAACAGGCCCCTAAAACAGCAAACTGTGTAAACACCCCCAACATGACACTTTTTAACACATTATAATAAGAACATCTGAACTGTGTGTTGAACTAAACCTAAACTGGCACACTCAGAACAACCATAATATTAATATTAAATCATAAAAAAGGGGTAAACTATGTGCCCTTTAAGGAACGAGTAAAGCAATGCATTACTTTTAAAAATTAAGTAATAATATCAGAGTTCCTTTATTTTTTTTAATGTACCGTGGGTTACTTTTGTTCCCTCTTCCCTCTCCCCTGATGGCCTGCACTCACTGCATTTTACCTTCAGAGCCAGAGCACACTAACATCATCGATGAAGCGATGTCGCTCAGCACACTGGAAATTGCTTTAGTTATATAATTTGGGATGCAGTGAAACATAGTCAAATATTTAGCCGAACAGATCCTCTTAGGAGGTTTGCTAAAGTTGCAGCTGATGTGCAGGGGTGGGGGGGTGGGGGTGGGGTTGGGTTTTTTGGGGTTCATCTTTAAAAAACTATGACAGTTGATTAAACAGAGTGTTAAAAGATCCATATGAAATAGCCCCTAAAAAGTGATGTTGCGTCTTTAGATTTGCGCTCAGGCATGCTTTGCACTCACACTACTAGCATACCACGCCTAAGCCCAACCGAACTGCACTCTGGCACACCTCTTCCAACCGGGCCAGGACCGGCCAACTGAACCGCACCTGGGCTCGATTTGGAGCACTCACACTTGTCAAACGAACCGGGAAACATGCCCATGCGCAGTTCGGATCGCATAGTGTATGTGCACCCTTACATTTCTGTGATGGAAATATTCTCATTATTTTGAACACATGGAAGAAAAGGAAAAGAGGATCATCTGATTGGACAGTGATTTTACTTATTAATAAGACAAAAGGAGCAAACACATTGCTTTAAACTTTCATTAATCTGTATATACAGCATGTAGAGCTCTGGGGTCAGGAAGTTCTCTGAGGATAACATTATCCTACATTACTTTTTTTTAAAAATGTGTTCCATTAACGCTTTTTTTTTTAATGAAGGTAAATGATGGTTATACAGTCTGTTAATTGCAGAGCTCCTCTATTTAAAAAAGAAGAAGAAGAAGAAGAAGAAGAAGAAGAAGAAAAATACTTGGCAAGTCCTAAAAGAGATAAGTCACAGCCAGGTCAGAAAAAGTAAAGCAAAAGTAACGTAACTTATTTCTTACTATTAAAAGTAACTAGTTACTTTTTTGGGGAGTAGCTCAATATTCCCTAACTTATTCATTTTAAATCAGGTACAATATTAAGTAAAATTGGGTTAACTATTTATTTTAATGATGAAAAAGACTTGCCAAAATGCCTCTCGTATGTCTTGAGAATCTCCATGCTGCGCTGACTGTCCACCATGTTGATGGCGAGTCCTCTCTTGCCAAACCGCCCAGTCCTGCCAATCCGGTGGAGGTATGTCTCGTTGTCTGGATTGCTATCTTTGTCCAGGGGAAGGTCAAAGTTGATCACCACCGACACTTGTTCAACATCAATACCTGTGGGTCAGTAGCTTGATTAAGGAACATGGCAGAATGCATGACTTACAAACTGAAAGGCGCATGCCTCCCACCAGTGCTGATATACAGCCATATAGCACTGCTAATCGTGCACACATAAAAAAAAAATCTCTCTCTCTCTCTCTCTCTTTATATAGATGTATATAAATACGTGTGCATGGGTATTTTTTATATGTATTTATGTATGTATGTATCTATATATCTATATAAATGTACAGTTGAAGTCAGAATTATTAGCCCCCCTGAATTATTAGCCCCCCCCAGTTTATTTTTTTCCCCCAATTTCTGTTTAACGGAGAGAAGATTTTTTTTTCAACACATTTATAAACATAATAGTTTTAATAACTCATTTCTAATAATAGATTTATTTTATCTTTACCATGATGACAGTAAATAATATTTTTTAAGACCCTTCTATACAGCTTAAAGTGACATTTAAAGGCTTACCTAGGTTAATTAGGTTAAATAGGCAGGTTGGGGCAATTAGGCAAGTTATTGTATAATGATGGTTTGTTCTGTAGACTATCGAAAAAAAAGAAAGCTTAAAGGGGCTAATAATTTTGAGCTAAAAATAGTTTTAAAAAAAAATTAAAACTGCTTTTATACTTGCTGAAATAAAACAAATAAGACTTTCTCCAGAAGAAAAAATATTATCAGACATACTGTGAAAATTTCCTTGCTCTGGTAAACATCATTTGGGAAATATTTTAAAAAGAAGAAAAATTTTAAAGGGGCTTTAATAATTTTGATTTCAACTATATATATATATAATGCATGGTTTCCACTACATTCATTCCTCCATGGCGGGGCACCACCCCTAAATGCATCCCGCCACGGCTACATTCCAGCTTCTCGTTAAAAAAATTCAGTCGTTGTTGTTTTTAATAGTGGGCTATAGTCACACCAAAACTTATTAAAAGCAAATGAATTATAACAGCGCAAACTTTTCTGTAATAGTAGTGGTGCTGTGTGTTATTTGTTTAACCCTTTGAGGTTACGTGCTGACTGACTGACAGGTGCGTGATGCATGAGGCCAGCAAACACGACGTAGCTTTTAGTTAGGATGAACACAGTTTTCTATAATTTTAATTTATTTATTAATGAAAATCTAGGGTTCTGCATACAATGACTTTATCTTGCTGGAGTTTATAGCCATTTCACTTTACTTCAGTAAAGATTCGCATGCTCGTATTGCATAAATGCGTTCTCAACTTGTAATACTGCGCTCACGACATTTCTCCATTGTCATAAGCCCCTTTCACACAGTGATACCGGTAAATATTTGGAAAATTTCCAGAACGACTTTACCGGTATTTTCAAAAAAGCGCTGTTCACACAGGCGAGGACGTTACGGAATTTTTCCAGAGTAGACCGTTCACACATCCATTCCAAAATACCGGTAAATTCTGACATCATTCACCACAAACGAGCTTTAAACGGCTGCGCTTGTATTTGTAAACATTTGACTAAATTACAAACTCTGTGGATGATCAGTATTGTGAACAACTTCGATGAAAACATATGGAGGATCACAATCATAATAATATGTGCGTGTGCAGGCGCTCACAGGCTGTTTCACAGGCACACGCAAAGCTTGAAGGTAAACAAACAGCGGCTCATCATAAGCATCTTATCGATGATTATTTACACAGTTGGCATTAAGAAGAACATATAAACGTGATCTGACTAACTTCTAGCAGCTAAACGCGTCTGGGAAAATATTCAAAAGCTTTTAATCTCACAAACCGCACGGACGTGAATGCGTCTGACTGTTCTGATTGGCTAAAGCAGACGTCTCACGTCAGCACGTTCTAGACGTGGACGCGCTCTTTCCAGCAATCTTCCTTCTGCATTCACACAGCGCAGCATTCCGGCAAATTACCGGTAATGTTACAACTTCCCTTTCCGGAAAATAGCCAGAACGAATTTACCGGTATTTTCAAAAAGGACCTGTTCACAATATTCCGGAAAGGTCTGTATGTGTGAAAGGGGCTATTAAAATAACTTCACAGATAGTTGGTAGATTTGTGTAAAAGGTCTGCCGCCACAGCTGGAAAAAATCCTAGAGAAAACACTGTGTGCACGCACGCAGTACATAGCATATACATTTTTTTTTCTAACATATTCATTGGTGTACAATTTTTTACACTGTGCTCTTCAGTTTAGTTTAGTTCTTTAGGTTAGTTCTAGTTTTGGCGTTGATACTTTGTAATTTAATGCAAAAATATAGCTATACCTATAGAAAGTATTCATTTAGAGTTGGCATAATCAAAGCCATTTCATTATAATAATTTTATAATTCAATCAGAGACATCCAGGGCATTGTACATTATTTTCTAATTATTGCATAATATATATATATATATAAGCAAAGCAGCCGCAGTTATCAGTTTTGTTAAAATATTAACAAGGCAAATAAGAAATTCATATATATATATATATATATATATATATATATATATATATATATATATGAATTTCTTATTTGCCTTGTTAATATTTTCAACACACAGATACTTGCCTCTTGCACAGACATTAGTAGTGATGAGGACTTTCTCCTTGCCGTCTCTGAAGCGTTCAATAACTGCGGCTCTTTGCTCGACCACCATTTCTCCACTGAGCAGCGCCACCTGGTGGCCCTCTTTAGACATCTGGCCAGCAAGCCAGTTGGCCATTTTCCTAGTCTGAAAGAAGATGACAGCATGAGACGAGTGAAAAAAGCTCAAACACAGATATCATCCATGCAAGGGGCAAACAGACTGACATGACAAAAGATCATAGCTTGTGCGATAGTGATGGCTCCATAGATGTTGCAGAGCGCATTGAACTTGTCTTCTTTGCTGTTGCAGAGCACGTAGTACTGCTTGATAGTGTCCAGGGTCTCCTCTTCTCGTTTTAGCTTGATGATGTTGGGATCAGGCACGACCCGCTCGGCAAACTTCCACACAGAGTCCTCAAAAGTGGCAGAGAAAAGCAGCATCTGGCAGCCTTTGGGCAGCATTCTGTGAAAGATGGCAAATAGACCAATTATACTCTATTTTACTTCAGCATGTTGACACTTTTTTGAAGTTACTTTTAAGTTTGTAAATTTAATGCACACAGATGGACCGTTTTGCTCAATGAGACTGTTTCATCAGGTTATTAAATCATTGTTTTTACTTATATTTATTTTTTGCCTCTAAAAGTGCCTGCAGGCATTTAATTGTATTTTATGAATCACCAAGAAACTATTTAAAAATAAAAATCTTAATGTTGTACTGCAGGGGGAAAAAAAAAAATCACTTACATCACAGATGACCTGACAGTGCGTAAATTACAGCCAATTTTTATTATGGGGTGAAATTTTCCTTTTTAACACAAATCAAACTAAAAGTACATAAAAAAAATTAAAAATAAATTATCTAAAATAATTAATTACATAAATAAATAAATATTATTTTTTCAAGGCAGGACAGTGGAGATTACACACAGGAAAGTGTGGGGAACAGAGAGAAGGGAAAAACCAGCAAAGGACCTCGAGCCGAGAATCGAACCCGGGTCACCATGAGCACCTTAGTGCTATGTGTCGACGCTCTAACCACTAGGCTATTGGCTAATATTTCACCTCAATTACTGATATGCTTACTATGAATGTCCCCATTTTTCTGATCAGATTGATTTAAGTGTGATTTAATATTGAGTATTAGCTGAGTCCAAGTCAAATATATTTTTGTTCTAGTATTATTTCTATAATAAAACTAGCAGAAAATATATTTGACTAGTATTATTATATACATCTAAACTCTCTTTAATAATTTATATAATAAAACTATATAAATTATCAAAGAGTTTAGATCTTTATAATAATAATAGTCAAATATATTTTTCTGCTAGTTTTTTTTATATAATTTATTAAAAAGTTTATCCATATAATACTAGTCAAATATATTTTTATTCTAGTATTATTATTACATAAATTATTAGTTTAGATCTGTATAATAACACTAGTCAAATATATTTTTCTCCTTGTATTATTGTTATATAAACTATTAAAGAGAGTTTAGATCTATATAATAATATGAGTCAAATATATTTTTCTCCTTGTATTATTGTTATATAAACTATTAAAGAGAGTTTAGATCTATATAATAATATTAGTCAAATATATTTTTCTCCTAGTGTTATTATTATATAAATTAACGAGAATTTAAATCTATTTAAAATTAGTCAAATATATATTTCTCCTAGTATTATTATTATATAAACTATAAAATACCAGTCAATTATACTTTTCTGTTAGTTTTATTATATCAATTATTAAAGAGTTTAGATTTTTTTTGCCATATCAGCATCAATGGCTATTTCATGGCAAGAAGCACAACATTTACAGTTTATAAATAATACTTTTCTATAAAACACAGGTTTGTAACAATAAAAACACAATCTAAAGATGTACTTTATATAATGCATTCTTCAATTTTGAAAGGGCTTACATTTTAAACGAATTCCTCTCCAGATAAAAAAAATCATAGCATTAAAAATAGGGCATTGCAAAGGAATGCGTTTTACATTCAGGTTATTAATTATTAACTAATATCCATATATTTAACAGTCCACATTTGCTCGGTGTCAAAGCACGTTCTGAAACATTAGGGAAAGCTGACCTCTGAATGCGAATGCTCTGGTCCTGGTGTCCCTGTGTGGCGATCATGACATCGGCCTCGTCCAGAACAAACACTTTGATCTTTTTGGGGTCTATGAGTTTCAGCTTAATGCACCAGTCCAGAACCGTTCCAGGTGTGCCGATGACGATCTGATCCTTGATCCTTACGCCACGCTCCACTGACACACAACACAGCAGTCGTCATGCATTTACATATCACAAGGTTCAGAGGCTTTATTTAAAGACGCTTACTTCTATGTCCTCGAACTGCATATGCCAGTGTGACTTCCGGATAAAATTTGCCCATCTGCTCGATGACTTTGCCCGTCTGCAGAGCCAGCTCATATGTGGGGGAAATGCACAAACACTGGAAGACAGACACGGTGAATTAATAACATGTACTGTACATCACACCTCATGCTCAAAAGAAAACTCATTCCTTTGACTTTGTGAGTTATTGCAAAGATATTTTGCAGATTTAGTTAAAGAGCCCCTATGGGATTTTAAAACAGACCTTCCATTCAGTAACACAGCACTAAGTGAATGAAAACATCCAGCTGAGGTTTAAATCTGAAAGTGCACCATGTTTAAAACTACTGATTCTTCAAGGAAAGAGTAGACTCGGAGTCGAATGAATGATTCGTTTTGTGTTCGGATCTTTCGCCTGCACACATCGACGTTGATACACGACATCGCAAAATATGAAGATTGGGATCCAGTAAAACGCAACTGCGCTTTCCCCTTCAAACACTAGTGGAGCGTTGGGGATCATGGGATTGATCATGACGAGATGACAGAGTTTATATGAATCCATTTCTTCTTCCTCCAGATCCTGTTAGTGTTTCTCTTTCCTACATAACCTGTAAGTGTGATTAAAATGGTTGCCTCGTTTTCTGTGGTTTGCGAAATATGTATTTGTGTTCAGTAACTTGTAATTGCTGCGTGCAGCTTGTAATCATGTATCTATTATAGATCAGTGCTTGTAATGCATCTCTCAGGTCACATCTGTATGGGTTATTCGCATATCGCATCCAAAACCACATAAAAAAAATGCGACGTGTGCTGCTTCTTTTACTGATTAAAATGTGTTTCTGAGCTCGCGATTCTTTGCCGTTTGTCATTGCTATGGCAAAAACATTTGCAAATAGTCAATTTTTTTGCATTATGAGTTTTCTGAAATGCCGGGTTAAAATATTCAAATGATGAATTATTTATTCCTAGTGATGGGTTGCAGCTGGAAGGGCATCCGCTGCGTAAAAATGTGCTGGATAAGTTGGCAGTTCATTCCACTGTGGCGACCCCAGGTTAATAAAGGGACTAAGCCGAAAAGAAAATGAAAGAATTATTTAATGAAATATGCTATTTTGCATTTATTTCCAGAACAGAAATCTGACCAATGGATGAAGCCAGGTTCAAAATTGTGTTTTTTTTCAGGATATCTTTTTTTTTTTTTTTTGTAATCACTTAATAAATTTAGAAAATACTGTTAACAGCCAGAAAAAGGAACAATGTGTGTCTTTAAAACAACCTTCTAATACGTTTCAAAAACTTTAAGCAAACAGTTAACAATAATAATAAGTTTATGCATTTATTTAGGAACATTTTTTCTTGGAATTATAAACTCAAAAGACTCCCACTATACCTACTTTTGACCATCTCTGCCTCCTCAAACTTACATTCAGCTACAAATATATAAAATAATATAAATATATAAATTAAGTGTTATTTTCATCTTTTGGTGTGTTTGCATGAAACGCAAATATATTGGTATCATTTGTAATTTCAATTATGAAACAACTATAAACTATGTAACATCAGCTATAAAAAGGCATAGTAAAATGTTGGCACTTCAGTTGGTGAGGGCATGGAGGCATGTCATTATTCTCCTCTTATTCATTTGTACCAAATATTGATTTGATTAATTAGGTCAACTCTGTTACTGTGATATTTCAGTGAATTTCTCATTACCATTTAAAAAAAAACAATTATTTGATGAAAATGCATGCAATTATTCTTTTAGAAATGTCATGCGGTCTCAGGTTTGAGGTTAGCATCACAAAATAGTGGAAAATGTCAACTCAGCTATTGTAGGCTCTGTTATTGTTTAAAGGTACTTTAAAATAAAGTTTTTTTTTAGATGAAATTGTCAGTATTGCCAGTTTTTAGGATATGTATGAGCTAGTGTGCCGCTAAACAGTGACAAATTTCACATTTAGAAGAAATGAAACTGATATTAACATGTAAAGCTTGTAGTTTGTCACTTCTGCCTAAATGGATCAATGGTTTTATTTTCGTCAACCCATCCTACAATTTAAATTTTCTCATTTGCTTTTCATTTGATGTGCTTGAGCTCAAACACTCTCACTTGCAAAGTTGTCATAAAACAAACCGCGATTGGCTGTTTTTTTTTAAGGGGAGGAGCTACACTATGTCCAACCCTCTCTTCGTGTTTCAGTTGAGATTACATCAAACATTGAATAAAATAATGCACATTTCTAAGCCCTCCACAGGACCCTTAACAATAATTTAAACAAGTATTAGTAAAAGAATCATGTTCTCTATCACATTTAAGCGTTTCGCATTATTTTACATTAACTATGATTCCAGTTACTGTGAATTATACATTTGTTGCATGTCATACTAGTGTTTTCACTTCTCATTGACTGCACAAAAAGAAAAAAGTAACTCTCACAATTCATTTCGTTAGACTTCTGGCCCAATACATGATAAAATATACTAATTTAGAGATATGTAATGGAAATATAAAGTCTAATAAAAAGCTGTTGGATATAAGTGTATTTATAAAAGTGTAAGTTTTTCTATCACTAGTCTAATCAAAGACATCAAAAAGTGACAAGTGCGTGAAATAGCAATGGTTTTAAATGAGGTGTCACGCTTTAAATCAGAATGAAAGGGAACACTTGAGTGAGTCTTGGTTTTTAAACTTACCTGCGACCATTTACAGGCTGGGTCCACATGACTGAGCATAGCCAGAACGAATGCAGCCGTTTTACCAGTGCCAGACTGAGACTGAGCAATCAGATTCTGAGGTCTGGGAGTTAGCAACAAAAACACATGTTTGTTCATATAAATGTTATATTAAAACTGCCTTAAAACACAGTTGAAGTCAGAATTATTAGCCCTCCAGAATGATTGGCCCCCTCTATATGATTTCCCCAAATTTCTGTTTAACGGAACAATTTCTATACATAATAGTTTTAAGAACTAATTTCTAATTCATGTAATTTAATAACTGATTACTTTAATCTGTACCATGATGGCAGTGCATGATATTATACTAGTTATTTTAAAGACACTAGTATTTAGCCTAAAGTGACATTTAAAGGCGTAACTAGATTATTTAAGGTAATTAGGCAAGTCATCGTATAACAGTGAGCTGTTCTGTAGAAAGTCGAAAAAAATATTGCTTAGGAGAGCTAATAATATTAACCTTAAAATGTTTTCCTTAAATTAAAACTGCTGTTATTCAAGCCGAAAGAAAACAAATAAGACTTTTTTTCAGAACAAAAAATATTACAGGAAATACTGTGAAAAATTCCTTGCTCTGTTAAAGGTAATTTGTGAAATATTTAAAATAGAAAAAAATATTTTGGCTAATAATCTTGAATTCAATACATACTCTGATATTTCACATTACAAATAATAAAATGGTTCAATTGAGCAACAAATAAGCAATCATTGCAATAAAAACAATTAACAAGAATAATATATATGCATCTAAATCTGTATGTGTGTGTTCACTATTATAAACCTGATTCTAGTTTAATATAGAGCCAAAATGAAAAGCACGACTCACTTAACCCTCTATTAAAATAGAATTCATGATATTTATGAACTTACGGTTCAGCCAGCATCATGGGAAGGGCATTCTCTTGGATTTTAGAAGGTCTGTTGAAGCCCATTTCATAGACGCCTTTGAGCAACTGAGGTTTCCTGAGTTACACAAATAAAAACTATTGAAAGAAATGCTCCATAGGTCTTAAATCTTTTATTTTCTCCAAATATTCAACAAGACAGTAATAGTTGGCATAATAATAAAGCATAAATAATTGCAGTAATTGTTGTTGCATGCAATACGATTTAAGCGATGAATCATCAGGACTTTCACAATGTTTTTGAAGCGTCACTCGTCTAAGATACATTTATATGTTCAAAAATACAGTAATATTGCAATATGTTACCTGTGTCATGTCATTTTAGCCCTAGTACTCACAGTCTCAGCTCCTCGAAAGTCTTGACTGAATAAAGCGGTGAGTTTGGGTCTCTCTGAAGAACCTCCACCTGGTTTGTGTTATTGACCAGATTGCTTCTGATCAGCTTGTTCAGGAGACTCTGTGTGGCTCTGTCCTCTAAAATAGTAGATTCCGAAAAGAAAAGGCTTACATTGATGATCTAAACCCATAAAACCCTGGTGTAATTTGAATAAATACAGAGGCAAGCAAATAATTTTTAAGATGTTCACATTTGGCAAGTTTGTGCTATTCAAACAAACTCTTGTAAGTGTTCTGTCTGTGCTGTTCAGTTGAGCAGGTCTGAAAGCTGCCTTGATCCACACTAAACAAGTGGACTGAGACCTCTAAAAATATGGGTCTTGGTTGACTTCCAAATAAAATCTAGTGTGGTTCTTCTATGATTTTGACACCATATGTGTTATCAAAATCAGTCGGGCAATAATTTGACTCGGGTTTCTTTTTATGTAAAGATGTTTACAGAATTTTTAGCATCATAACAATAAACTCTGGTCAAGAGACTGTGCTGCTCCATTTGTCTTTCTTTCACTTTTCTATATCGTAATATAACTTAAACAGTCCAATAAGGGCGGAGCAAACCATTAAAAACAGAAGAGTAGGGGTGAAATCAAATGTATGCAACGAAACATATAAACTGTGAATCAGAGCACTATTAATAAATTATATTAAATCAAATTATGGCTCTTACACCATGTATAAACCATAGCTGTTTTTTCTTTTCACTTTCACAATATTACCCATTATAGTTCATTACAGTTTTTGCTAGCTTTTTTTGACTCAAAACATTTTTATAAGCTCCTCATGAGCCCTCAGCTGATAAAAAATACTATCACATGTAAACAACAGGCATCAGTACAGCACATAGTTTAGGATATTTGGTAAGTTCCGTCACTAAACAAAGCCTTTTTATTCTTTTTTCTAGGTTAACATTGCAGTGCTAAAGGGATACTTCTCCCAAAAATTAAGATTTACTGTTAATTTACTAACCTTCAGGTCATTCAAGATGTAGGTGACTTTTTTAATTCAGTAGATCATTTAAGGTTTTTAGCTGAATCTGTGGTTTTTGGTGATTCATATAATGCAAGTCAATGGTCCTATAAACAGGATTAGATCGGGTCTTTTCAAGCATAATACTGATTTTGTAATGTACCAAATTCTGATATCTTCTTACAGTAGAAGTTACATACACTTGGGAAAATAGTAAATAGTTTTTTATTAAACAATTAAATTAAAAACTATCTATAAAAAAATATAAAAATGAATAAAAATATAAATTATTGTAAAAATATTATATAAAAAACATACTGTACATAAAAAATATACAAGTTAAATGTATGCAATTTGCACTCCAAAATAAAAGTACAAAGCTGTCACGGGGTGGTTCTCCCTAATTAAGGATTTCAAAGAGAACATTTATTATTACAGCCTTTTTAGACACAAACACATACTATTTTAAGGTACCAACTTTAGTACAATTGTGTATGTTAATCAGCTTGTTAAGTTGTGACGTATGAAATACTGTTTCCGGGTCCGAGCCGCTATCTGCTTGTTAAGTGTGACGTCACGCGAAGCGGCTTCCGGGTCCAAGCGCTCTATTCAACTATATGGGGAGACTCATGAAATGGTAACAATAAACGTTAACAAAGCGATTTAATACTTTCGAAAATCACGATCGCAATATATAGCTGCTTTTCCACTATCGTTCCAAACTGTTCCAAGAACACCTCGAATGGCCAGAAAGTGATTCAGTTTTTTATAAATTGTTACAATTTTGGTAATTGTTACGCAGCAAGCCTAGAGATTGTTGTGTAAACTATGATTTTAATATAAAATTAACTTTAATGTGTGATATGAATTAAAAGTGATCATAAACGTCATAAACTAATAATTTCTCAACTCAAATGAGTGGCGGCTTGGACCCGGAAACAGTATTACATACGTCACCAAAACGTCATCACTTAACAAGCGGATTCATTTGAATTGAGAAAATATTGGTTTACGACCACTTTTTAGTCATATCACACATTATTAAGTTAATTTCATATAAAACCATGGCACACGGCAGTCTTTGAACTAACTGCATCACAAACATCAATATTTTAACAACTTATTATAAAAATAATTCATCACTTTCTGGTCATCCGAGCATAGGCATGGAAATGTATATTGTAATCGAGATTTTCGAGAGTAATAAATCACTTTGTAAACGTTTATTATCACCATTTCTTGAGTCTCCCCATACAGTTTAATTTGGTGCTTGAACCCGGAAGCCGCTTCGCGTGCCATCACACTTAACAAGCCGATAGGCATGCACTTTATATATATACATTTTTTTTAAGGAATAATAACTTATGCAGTCATGAACATGATTTGACAGCTAATATGACGGTGATTTTATGCTTCGTAAAAGTTGCAGACACTTTTACCTATATTAAAATGCTTTATTTGATGCAAAATTTATATAAACAGCCAGTTATTCCTTACGCCGATTAAGAAATTATAATAAAGAAAATCCGCTCTAAATGTAAAACTAAATCTTAATACTCTTGACACATGAAAGTGTAAAACCTGCAGCTCACAACAAATGTGGAAAGTTACTGCAAATAATATTTAACAAACTGTTTACTAGGAATCGATAATATTTTGCTCAAACGGAGGATTGCACATTAATCGGATGATGTCATTACGCTGTTGTGCTGTCAGCCAATGGTTGCATTGCTGATCATGACTTCAAGGATCGATAGATCTGTCCTTCACAACACACGCAGCAATCTCAGATCAGTTCATCCAGATTTTTTAGTCTGATTCGGGAACTTGTTTGAGGAACTAAATTAGCCAGAGATCAGTTATCAAGATTAAAAGATCCAGGATCTATCAAATCATCTTGCATCATTTAAGCGAGGTACAAAGAAGGAAGCCCTGATCTGAGAAAGAAACTGAACATTATTTACAATATTATTTGCTTTATTCCACAGCCTGAAAAAAAATTCTCTGCACGCACACACATATGCGATTGAATTGAGCACAAGCTTCGGGTTGCTTGATGACATATGCATGAGCACGCACACAGGCACGAGTTCATTTATCAGAATAGAGTCATGCTGCCTGCAAGGATAATTTATAGCAGTTGTCACATCTTAATCACAGGTAAGAACCATTCTGGCAAAAAACGTGCATCCTCATTCTTGTCACCTCCCATCTGAGTGCACTCGACCATATGTCATCAAGCATGCTCACTACACAAGAACTGTTTGCCCAGGCTGTGGATTAAGACTACAAATATTGTAAATAATTTTCATTGTTTGAAGAAGACCAATTGTTTCACTTAACGAGCTTTCATTAGAACATTAATGATCTACTTGAAAATAAAATCTTGTACATCAATGACTTAAGGGGAAGTAAATGAAGTGTAAATTACAAGCTTTGGATGAACTATTCTTTTATATTACTATTTAATACTAAATAATCTAGGACTAAATGTGTAAACACACCCTTGCACTACTTAATGATATACTACATTAAAAATTGCAATAGCACTAAATATTATACACACTAAATATACACACACACACACACACGCACATGCATGCATGCATACATACATACATGCACACACACACACATACATACATACATACATACATACATACATACATACATACATACATACATACATACATACATACATACATACATACATACATACATACATACATACATACATACATACATACATATATATATATATATATATATATATACACCCACACACTTGTATACATCAACACATTAATATTGTTAATATATATATTAACAATGTAGAGCAATTGGCTCAAACATATAAATATGTTAATTTTGACATTTTAAGAAATGAACCTTTTTCATCTTCTTCATCATCACCTAAAGAACAAAAAAGTACAAGACATTAGAAAATGCATAAAAAGCATAATGCAACTATTTCAACAGGTTTCTTTTTTTTTTATAACTATACAAACAACAAATCTCTATACATTTTATAATAATAGTTCATACTTCACATAAAACTGTTTGACTGTTCTTTCGATAACCAAGGAAATTCCAAGTTTAAAAGTTAAAAAGACAAGCTCAAAGCTATTATAAAGCTTTAGTGATACTGCAAAGTTGCAAAGCTTAAAAGTCATGCAGGACTGCAACTAAAAGTGTATTTCTATGAAAACCACTAACACTTTAATGCATGTAAAGCAGGACTACCATTATTCTGATGCAAAGATGCATTTTCTGCTTCCATAATCCGCAGGTTCCCAACCTGTTTTCAAACAAAAGAATTGACAGTTTTAGTAAATATAAAAATAAATAATAAAATAAACAAAATAAATGTATGTATGTATGTGTGTGTGTATGTATGTGTGTATATATATATATTAATATAAACAAAATAAATGTATGTATGTATGTATGTATGTGTGTGTGTGTGTGTGTGTGTGTATGTATATATATATATATATATATATATATATATATATATATATATATATATATATATATTTATTTATTTTTATGTCAATAATAACTTTTAAAATCGATCAAACAAAATTAAAAGATTATAAAGATATATACACTTGCTGTTAAATGAGGTAAAGTTGGTTTTATATTCTCACATTCGCTCATTTTAATGGTCTCCATATTGTTTACTGCTACTTTAAATATTGGGTCTGAATTTCAATTCAATTCAGTTCAATTCACCTTTATTTCTATATTGCTTTTACAATGTAGATTGAGTCAAAGCAGCTTCACATAGAATATTATAGTAAGTTATAGAATATTATTGCATGCAAGTAAGTTATGACTTGAAAACAATACTAGCACTATTTAATTGACTGTGAACAATGTTGTACTCTGATAGTATGATTTTCCTGTTTGTTATTTGCAAATAATAATTTTCTGAAATCATATTATTAACGAGAGTGTCTTAATGTGCAAAAATAAAACCAACTTTAAGTTACCTCAATGTAACATTAACGTAAATTGAAATCTCACAAACGTTAACTTTAGCTTTCTAATCACAGGAAATTTTCAAGTCGAACTGTAGTCACTAAATCGTATCTACATTTAAAATCTCACACAGGCCACGGCTCAGAATGTTTTTAGAAAGATTTTTTGATGACCAAAACATCGCCTCAAAACTTTACCTCTATTCAAACGCGTCTGTGTCATATAAACGCAAAGTAGGCAGTTCACTAGGATTTGAGACGCGTCCAGCGCCTGACTCACAGCGGCTAGTGCGCTAATGAATCACAACACGATTAAAAATACAGTTTCACTCACAGGCTTGGTTGTAGACTCTTGTTCGTCCACAGCTAAAGCCCACGAGTCGGTTGACATGGCTTAATCGCAGATATATTAACTTTTTAACCGGTCTTGATAACTCTTCTGATGATGACGGACTGTTCACTTCACGCGGCTTCACGAGAATGTGCACACTGCCAGCGCGCGCTCACAGAACGCTGTCCGGCCGGAAGTTATTATTACACGATGCCCAGTTCCAGATTATTAACTTCGACCTGTAAGTATATATCTGTACCTATATATGATTTATTTACAGACTATATCTGTCAGTATATATGATTTATTTGAAAGCCCAGTGTTAATGGTGAATTGAGTTAGTCTATTTTTTGCTAAAAGCAGTATCTGCAGATGATAATTTCTCACATTTTGATTTATTTGGACGTGTAGCCTAAATTAAATTAAATGTTTATCAGTCTGACAGAAAACATAATACATTTATTATAAAACGTTTAACCTAAACAAGATTTTATTATAGTCAAAGTGCGGTATGTTTTCTGTCAGATTGATTTACGTTATACTTGTAGTATTTTTCATTCATTCATTCATTCATTCATTCATTCATTCATTCATTCATTCATTTTCTTTTTGGCTTAGCTCCTTTATTAATCAGGGGTCACCACCGCGGAATGAATCACCAACTTATCCATGTTTACCCAGCTGAGGCTCACACCAGCAACCTTCTTGCTGTGAGGTGACAGTGCTACCCACTGCCCCAATGTTCTGCCTCTGTAGTATTTTTTATTAATATAATTTATTTTCCAATGACTAGTGGCCAAAACAATACTTAGATATTTTTGTACATTTACTAAATTACATTTTTGCCTAATGGCAGTTTATCTCTGCACGTGCTTAACTGTATTTCCTACTATGGCAATATTGTTAAAATTGTTAAAGAAATTTCACATTAACAGAAAACTCAGGCGTCATTACTCAACTTTCCTAGTATCCCTGAAATTAATCGCGTTTACTTTATTAACAAACTCATTTTATTATTATTATTATTATTATAAATGAATAAATTATAATTTTTATTATTATTATTGTAAATGAATCAAGCTTACTTTATTAAACTCAATTAATTATTGTTATTATTATTATTATTTATTCTTTAAAATCATATAAAAATCCCTCTTGTAACACTACGTAACCCCAATTTTCTTATAGTAAAAGTATGTTTTTGTGGCAAATTGTGATCTATACCACAGTTTTACCATTCATTCATTCATTCATTCATTCATTTTCCTTCAGCTTAGTCCCTATATTCATTAGCGGTTGCCACAGCAGAATGATCCACCAACGTATCCATCACCTGTTTTAGCTTATTCAATTCATCTATACCGCATGTGTTTGGACTGTGGGGGAAACCGGAGCACCCAGAAGAAACCCATGCCAACACGATAAGAACATGCAAACTCCACACAGAAATTCCATCTGACCCAACCGGGTCTCAAACCAGCGACCTTCTTGCTGTGAGGCGACAATGCTGACCACTGAGCCACCGTGCCTCCCACTATGGCAATATTGTTAAAAATTGCTAAAGATATTTCACTTTAACAGAAAATTCAGGCGTCATTACACAACTTGTCCAGTATCCCTGAAATGAATCACATTTAATTTATTAACACATCCATTCATTCTTCAAAGCTATATCAAAATCCTTCTTGCAACACCCAATTGGTTTATAATAAAACGTACAGCGATGTTTTTTGGCAAATTGATTATATGATTTTACTTCAATACCATGATTATATTATGGTTAGTGCACCAAAACCTTGGTTAATTTAGGGTTGCCATGGTTCAACTAGGTAGAAAAACATATTATTTATTTGTAATAAAATTCTGGTCAGCACTGTTGCCTCACATCAAGAAGGTCACTGGTTATAGTCCCTGCTGGATCAGTTGGCATTTCTGTGTGGAGTTTGCATGTTCTCTTCATGTTGGTGTGAGTAAACTAAATCGGCACTATATATGTGTGTAAATGAGTGTGTATGGATGTTTCCCAGTACTGGGTTGCAGCTGGAAGGGCATTCGCTGTGTAAAACATATGCTGGTTAAGTTGACGGTTCATTCTGCTGTGGCCACCCCTGATGAATAAATTCAATTCAATTCAGCTTTATTTGTATAGCGCTTTTACAATGTAGATTGTGTCAAAGCAGCTTCACATGGATGGTCATAGTAACTGGAACAGTGTAGTTCAGTTTTTAGTGTTTAAGTTCAGTTCAGTTTAGTTTAGCTCAGTTCAGTGTGATTTAAAATCATTACTGAGAGTTCAAACACTGAAGAGCAAATTCATCGATGCGTAGCTCTACCAATCCTGAACCATGTGAGCCAGTGGCGACAGCGGAGAGGGAAAAAAAACTTCACCTGATAGGAGAGTGAAGAAAAAAAACATTGAGAGAACCAGACTTAGTTGGGCACGACCATTTTCATTTCTCTGCTGGCCAAAAGTCTTGTACAGAGCTTCAGTCACCGCGGTGGAGGCTGGAAGATGGCCTCAGCAAAAGAGACTAAGCCGAAGGAAAATGAATAAATGAATGAATGAAAATCCTGGTCCATTTTCAGAAGGGACACCAGTGGTTATTCTGGAAGAAAAAGTAGGCAAGGCAAGGCAAGTTTATTTATATAGCACATTTCATACACAGTGGCAATTCAAAGTGCTTTACATAAACAAGAATAAAAGAAACAAGTAAAAATAAATAAATAAACAAAAACAAATAATAAAACTGATTAAAAAACATAAAAACAGGTAAAATGTGATATGAAAGAATGAAGAAGAAGAGAAAAACATAATAGTGCGATCTGTCGGACGCAGCACAGTGCTCATTCAGTAAAGGCACAGCTAAACAGATGTGTTTTCAGTCTTGATTTGAATGTGCCTAATGTTGGAGCACATCTGATCATTTCTGGAAGCTGATTCCAGCAGCGAGGGGCATAGTGGCTGAAAGCTGATTAACCCTACTTTGACTGAACCCTTGGAACTTCTAGTTTATATGATCCTAAAGATCTGAGTGATCTGTTGTGTTTGTATTCAGTGAGCATATCTGTAATGTATTGAGGTCCTTGGCCATTTAGTGATTTATAGACCAGTAATAATACTTTAAAGTCTATTCTGAATTTAACTGGGAGCCAGTGTAGAGACCTGAGTACAGGTGTGATGTGCTCTGATTTCCTGGTTCTGGTCAGAATTCTGGCTGCAGCATTCTGGATGAGCTGCAACTGTCTGACTGTCTTTTTAGGAAGGCCAGTGAGGAGTCCATTACAGTAATCCACCCTGCTGCTGATAAAAGCATGAACAAGTTTCTCTAAATCTTCACTGGAAACAAAGCCTCTGATTCTTGCTATGTTTTTGAGATGATAGTATGCTGATTTACTGACTGCTTTGACATGACTGTTGTAGATACATATTATACAGTGTGTACATTTTTCAAAAATAATACCTTCATTACCATCATATAGGAAGTCATAGTTGATGTAACCATGGTGATAGGAATGCAATGTGCTAGAAATACCTCATCTGAACATTGGCTACTGTGTAAGAAACAGGTTAAGGGATTTTCCATTTAAATGTTTAACATTTTCTTTAAACCCAATTAAAACATATACAGATAGTACGCTTTAAAGGCCTAGCTCACCCAAAACTGAAAATTCCCTCATCATTTATTCACCCCACACTTGTTCCAAACCTGTTTGACTCTTTTTCTTCTGTTGAGCACAAAGGGTTTCCCAGTACTGGGTTGCTGCTGGAAGTGCATGTTTTACAATGTGTAAAACATATGCTGGAATAGTTTGTGGTCCATTTTGCTGTGGTGACAATATTTTTAATATTTTGTCCACATTTTTTGAGTGCCTTGGACTGATTTTTGCTTTTTATTCTGATGAATCCTTACCTAAAGAGAATCGATACATTACTTAAGCTACGCCTGAGCACTTTTTGTTTGATTATGGATTGTTATCAAGTAATAATCTTGCATATCATCCATTTTCAATAACCCAAGACAACGAAGGTTAAAAATGATGTGTCTCTTTTCCGCAGTCTTTTATTTCGCTGTATGCTTTTGTTTATTTGCGCATTGTTTTTCAATGAATAACTGTTTTTTAAAAAAATGATTTATTATTTACAGATTATTTTGCAGCTCACATTTATGAATGCCATCCATTCCCTTTCGCTTTGCTCCTGGATTTGACATATATTCTCAATTATTGCAGATGAACCACCGCAGCCCTCTGTAAATCCCAGCAGACGAGATAAGGGACGTTCAGGAAGAGCGAGTGAGCAAGAGAGAGAGAAAGAGAGACAGTAAATAGCACATGTTAATTTAATTGAGCAACAGAAGCTGAGATTCGAGCCAAAGCAGCGCACATCACTAACCACACACACACACACACACACACACACACTTTCTCCAACCAACCAACCTGTTGTCTTTTAAGAAGCCCTGGAGGCTCCATATTGATTGTCATGGTTACGTCCTCTGCAAAAGCAGATTAATCAGACGCCACAGCCATGAAATGCATTCATAAAATAATAATAAATCAACGCCTGTCATATTGAAACCAAGATAGTGAGCTTAGGAAAGCATGAATGATTGAAGGAAAATTTAAATAAATAAAACGTCAGTCTGAATCCTTCGCATCATCTGTGATCTCTCACCCTCCCCTCATTTCCCCCCCTCATGCATGGTGTTGCATTTCAGCCCGTGGTACCCTATCAAATAGGATACATGAATGGGCTCTCGTCACTGATTACGGAGAGACCGAGAGGTGGGGGAGAGCTGGTAGGTGGGTGGTACAGATGCTGAGGGGAGAATTGAGCGTTGGCGGGGGGGGAGGCTGGTGGGGTTCGTCTTTAATCTGTTGCACAGGACAAGCTCTTGCGTTCCTGCCACAGCTTCATAACCACATGTTGCTGCGCTGATTGACTGCGTTAAGCTTCCTCCAGCTGCTTCTATATCTGTCAGTCTCTCTCTCTCTCTAACCTCCCTCCGGTCTTCATTCGGTTCAGTTGTTGCGTCCGTCTCCAAGAGGTAAAGAAGAGCTTTTTTCGGAGTTGCAATCCACCTGATGTTATTTTTGTGGACACCACCAAACCAGTCGTCGAGAGAGAA